TCTCTTATACACATCTGATGTTATCTGTCCTGCTCCACAAGTCCAGCGGGAACCTCTAGCTGAAGTTGAAGTAAATGTACAGCCACAGACCTCAACTAAAAGGAAAGCGGTACAGGGAAAAACAAATGGAAAGAGAAAGAAATAAATGAGAACTGCACCCCTTCTTCATTCAGAGACGCTGCTGAGATTGTAAAAAAATGTAATATAATACTTGTTGCATAAGAAAATTTCAAATGACTCATAAATTTATATTCTTTTTTTTTTTCTTTTAGCTATACAATGTTGTGCTCTTCATTGTACATTAATATTTAATATAAACCTATTTTAATACAATAATTATTGTAAAAGTTTAGTGGCTGTGTCGTTTTACTGTCTATTTGTCTGCTTAATAATACTGATTTTGTTTGATAGATTATTATTTTTGCACAATACATAATATCGTGTTAATATTTAAAATTTTTAATCTGAAATCTTAGATAAATAATAAAAAAATGATATTGTAGTACTTGAGGATAATTGTTCTTGAATCTTCTTTACTTACTAAAATAGAGAATGCCTATCTTTTAATGTCCGTGCAGTGCAAGAATACTGGTGTAGTAATTGCATTTTCTTGTAATCGCGTTACATAATTTGGTTAGTTTTTTGTCAATTTTTAAAGTAATTTTATTAATGGAAGTTGTTAATAAAAAAAAACCTGATATTTTGTACACTGTGTCCCCAGTGATTCATTAACATATGTGTGAAGTTTCATTTGCATAGCATTACAGGAAGTTCGTTGTTGCTATGGAAAATATAGTGCCAGTGACTCAAGATTCCAGTGATACGCTTCGCTAACTTTGCAAGGCTTTTTTTTCATTGTTTTAGTTTCCTAGAGTTACAGTATTATGCAACTTCAATTAACCATATCTCACTTATTTCTCAATGTATTTGAATAATTTCAACACCATTTTGAAGCTGAAATAATGAACAATCAGAAAATATATACATCTAAATATTGGTAAACGTCAACTTTAAATACACGCTATCTTGTTAGTGTAAGATCTTTAATTTGAAGCAGTTAAGTTGCTGCTTCAAATTAAAGATCTAATACCCGATTCACACGTACAAAAATCTTACCAAATGTAACAAAATGTAACCAAAAGTAACACTTTACGGCACGTGTGAAAGTACCTCCGTGTAATATCCTTGTAAAATCTCGGAACGTCTCGGTAATCTTTACCAGCCTCGCTGAGGCTGGTAAAGCTCCCGAGATGTAGCATGGATGGATCTGCGCATGCGCAGGGATTTCAACACAACAACAATCTACTGTGTTTCACGGGGTTCTTTGAATTTTCTTCCTTCTGAAGACGATTCCGATCCACTAGAAATAGATAGGCCTAGTTTTTCTCAATGATGAATGCATTACCCTTGTTATTGATGTTAAATAGTAATGGTAGAAGAAGAAGATATACATAAAATGAACGTCGGGATGGTGTTAGTACTATTACTAGTATTATCAAGAGTCGACAGAAACGTTGGAAGCTATGCCTAGTTTAGTAGTAGTAGTAGTTTACAGCAGTTGTTAAGGGCATTGATTGCTTCGAATGTTTACAGTGATGTTGAGTTCAACAGTCCATCTATGACAGGGGTTCTCGACTAGGCCTAGGCTAGACCTATATCGCAGTAGGGGAAAAGATGATTCATTGAATAAACACTGAGTAAATTTTACACGACCTTGGCATTACCTTACAGACGCGTGTGAATGCTTTTTATCTCGGTAGGAATAACTCGGGAGATCGCTCGGTTACAATTTGTTACTTTTTTTAAATTTAACTTCACGTGTGAATCGGGGTATTACACTAACAAGATAGCGTGTTCCACAGTTTGCATGTAACAAAGAGAAGTGTCGAATTCACGCAGAAAACAATAGAAAGTAATTGTAATTAAGAGAGGCGTCCTATTGTTACTAAGACGGTTGTTTCAGGATTTGCACATGGAGGTCATAGATGTCAAAGTTCAAAAGTAATTGTAATTGCAAGAAGGCATCCCACACTGCGTTATTACAAAATTTGCACGTAGAAATCGCGTGAAAGAAAATTTATTTTCTTTGTTTATATTTTATATTGTTCATGGGTGCACCATCAAAGTGATGGGTGACACTGATCTGAAAGTGAACCCAATAAATCGTCGTATCGCGGAGAACGCTATCTTGTTATTTTAAGATATTTTCCCCAAAATGTCCAGCGCCCCACAATAATTCACGACCCCCTTTAGGTAGGGTTGTGGGCGAAGAATGGCCCTAAATATCTTATGTGAATTTAATTTTGGCACTAAATGTAATTATGAGGGTCCCAAGTGTAATAATTTTTGGCTCTAAATGTAATACAGGTTATATGCCTATGTGTAATAACTGTTGGGTCTAAATGTAATAAAGGTCTTTAGTGTAACAATTGTTGGGGTCTATACAAATGCTAATGTGTAATAGTTTTTGAGTCTAAATGTAATTAAGGTTCCAAGTGTAATAATTTTGGGTCTAAATGTAATAAAAAGGTTCTAAGTGTAATAATTTTTGGGTCTATATAATAAGGTTCCTAAGTGTAACAATTTTTGGGGGTCTACAAATCCTAATTGTGTAATAGTTTTTTGGTCTAAATTTAATAAAAATTCTTTAAGTGTGATAAGGGTCTAAATATAATAATTGGTCCTAAGTGTATTAATTTTGGGGTCTAAATGTAATAAAGGTTCTAAGTGTAATAATTTTTGGTCTAAATGTAATAAAAAAGTTCTAAGTGTAATAATTTTGGGGTCTAAATGTAGGTCCTAAGTGTAATCATTTTTGGGTCTGAATATAATAAAGGTTCTAAGTGTAATAATTTTGGTTCTAAATGTAATACTGAGGTTCTAAGTGTAATAATTTTTAGGTCTAAATGTAATAAAGGTCATAAGTGTAATTTTGTATTTCAAATGCTATGAAAGTTATCCTAAGTGTAATAAATATAATTAAGTTTTCTAAATGTATCTATATTGATCATAAATAATATGGTCCTACAGTAAAAGCATCGTTGACAACGAAACATTTTCAAATGGGAATTTGATGTGAATGTACCTTCAGTATGTAATAGCTGTTGGCTCTAAATTTAATAAATGTCATTATTGTACCAGAATATTTAATAACAACGGTAAAAACAATTAATATTTATAATACTAAATAATAATAATGAAAAGTATCGCTTTAACAAAATGAAAACAATAACCTGGCAACGAAAAGAGCTGTTCTTAAAATTGAATAACAACCTGGCAATTAGTTATTTATAAACAACAAACATGGCGAACTGCACCGTCATGAGTCGCTGGAATAAAACGTGTTTTTAGTAATAAAATGTAAAAAACCGGTGTTATTAGTAGAACTGGATGAAAAACCATTATATAGGATATCGTTAGTAGTGCACAGTAAGCGAAAATACTATTTTTGAAGATAGAAGTGTTAGAGTACTAAAGTGCATTAGCGCCAATTGAACTATTGATATTGATATTACAAAGAATATTTCTTGTTAAAATGTATATATTAATCTACTGTACCTTTTGGCCGCTCTGGCACCTATTTACCTCTAACAAGAAAAAATGGCAACTGTTCATAACTTATATCCTAACTACAGAGGGCTCACTTTTCAACCCCGGGGATTACAAATACTTTGATTACTTATCAGACTATTCATTTATGTATTATGTATGCTTAATCTTCTGTTTGGTTTCCAGGCCTTTATCCAGCTTTTATTTACATTTACATAATTATTAAGTATTTTTATATGCCACCTTTAATTAGGTTCTATTGTTATTTTAATTTGTAACCAATACCATTTCCTTATACTTGCTTTACTTTGTTTTTTTCAGTTGTCCTCACACTGAGGAAGAACACAGGATTGTTTGATATATTTGTGACTTAATAAATTATATTGCTTCTAGTATGTTTACAACTTATAGCTGTTTTTTTTTTTTGCTGTCTGTCTATAT